TATAAAAATATATATATATATATACAGCGAAGGAGAAGAAGAATGAAAGTGAAGGAAGGGGAAGAAGACGGCGAGGGTGACAAAGGTGATAGTGCCGGCAGCCATAGCCGAGGTTGAGGGTTGACCGGGCGTTGACCAGAGCGTTGACCAAGGGTTGACCAGAGGGTTGACCAAAGGGTTGACCAGGCGTTGACCGGGGGTGTTGACCAAGCGTTGACTCGGGGTTGTCCGCGTTGACTCAGCGTTGACCAAGGCGTTGACCGGAGCTGCTGACCAAGATTTTGACCAAGCTGGAATTGGTGATATCTCGCTGAGCCCTTAGCCTATCCCCTTACCCTGTGGATGTGCACTTACCCCACGGTACTTGCTGAGTTGTTTGTCTACTCTTTGTGCATTGAGTGTCTTCTGTCTTCGGTGCTAGGACTCTGTGGATGAAGGATAGGGCCTTGCTGCTAAACCTGCACGGGCTTAGTAGGACCAAAGCTCTACTCTGGCACTTGGAGACCTGGGCATGAGCGGCGAGCGCTCTTTAAACAACTCGTCTAGCCCAATGACCGGTACTGTCCGGCAAGTCTACTGAGTTCAGTGTGGAGGGTCTGAACTCCGAGCTGTAGGCTGAAACGAAGGCCGTCTTTAAGTGTTGAGGCCTGGTTGAGCCACTCCCCTACCGGACCCAGAAGGCTGATGATCCGTGTCTGACGACTCGACTGTCCCGAGGGATACGAACCCCTCCAAGGACCGGTACGGACCGGCGGGCTGCTCGGTGTGGCACAGGAGGCTGGACGGGCTGAGTTGTGSGCTGAAATCGCCAGAGGAACCAAGCTGATCGCGTCGTCCTGTCTGCGACGTTAAAGAATTCTTGCGAACTTAGGGGGATCTTGTTAAATACCTCCTGATCAGCTCTTGGTTCTATAGTGACAACCTTAGAGTAGTTTTGGGTTAAGTGTGATCATCATTGACATGGTCTTATCCTGTGGTCCTTAGGGAGTCAGTCAGTAGGTTAGAGTGTCCGGGTAGGTCTACGTGGTGAGGAGTGGGACCTTTGTCGTGCACCAACACCACGATGGRTGACTATCCGATGTATGGGCTACTTGTTGGGTTCTCCCTCTGGGGGACCCTTTGGCGTCTCCTCTTTCCTCTAGGCTTTTGGCCCACTTTCACGTGTAGAGTAGGGCCCACTCGTGGTGGGACTTCCACCAACCCCTACACAAAGGAGGAGGAGGAGAAGATGGCCGCCATTCTGCAGGACAAAAAGGAGAAGAAGGAGGCCAAGAAGAAGGCCTTGAAGGAGGAGCAGGCGGCCAAACTGAAGAACATAGAGGAAGAAATGGCCAAAGAGAAGGAGAGGATACAGAAAGAAGAAGAAGAGAAGTTGAAAGAGGTGGAAGAGGAGGAAGAAGATGAAACGCCATTGCAGAGGAAGAGGGTGCAATACAGTGGATTGCCTTATACCAAACTGAAGATGAAACTGAAGAAGATAAATATAAAAGGCTATACCATAACAGAAATGGCCGGCCTCACAATCCGTGAGCAAATTCAGTCATCCCTTATACCAAACACACAACCCCAGAGACAATACTTTCC